CCGCCTGACGTGTTGAACTTCTTTTCTGCAATGCTGCCATGTCGGTTTGTTTTTTTTTTCTTTTGTGCGCGGCTGTGTTACCAGCCGGACGGCCAGGGTTGCCTCAGATTGGCCCGGGTGGCCCGGCTGGTCCAGGTCCGGGCCAGGTCCGGGCAAAGTGTCGGTAAAGTTCCCGGGCAGTCCCAGCACCAAAAGGGGAAAAAAGAAAACAAAACAATCTGCAAAAATCTATGTTATGCAGAATTGCAAACCAAATATCTTTTGTCTGAGGGTGACCACGAAAACGGCTATGGAATCCGAAATAAGAAATAAAACTAAAATACTAAATTATATCAATAATCATACCCCTTTACGCCCCTTTTCGCCCCTTCGAGCCCTTTCGAACCCCGGTTATACCCCATAGACACCCTTTCGTGATAAGGCCGGAGGAAGAGAAAGGACACCCTTTGCAAGACTGCCTCAGCATGAGAACGGAGGTACAAGATACACCAATAGAAACACTCCGTCACGCATGCAAACATCAGGCGAATAGCGCAAAGAGAAAACAGAGTTTCCTAATCAAAGTTCACTACTCAATCTTAAAACCACCACCACACGTCCAATCCTCGACGCGTTTCGTCCACGCCGCACGTGGACTTTTCAGGAGGACCTGGTTCCTCCTCACTGATACCATCACACCAATCGAGCAAACATGGAGGCCATACCTACTTCTTGCCTCCAAATTTATAGTCATCCAACCCCTAATCTATGATGAAGAGAAAACACTACAGCATTGCTCAAACCCATCACGACACACAGCCCCCCTCCGCAGAGAAGGACGTGTGCGACCTCGCACTGAAACAGCTTAGAGCACCTTGAAACCGTAACCAAATCCATGTCTCCTCAGACACCGAGCGAAATGCAAAACCTCGCTAGTCAGCCGAAGCAGGCATCCGCCAGAGCGATAGGAACCCCACCGACAACTGGTACAATCGCTGCACAAGTCCAGCGCCGTCGCCAGGGCAAACTGGATTTTGTTGGCTCGCGGGTTGCCCGGCCAGCGACTCTGGAATTTTTTTTTTTTTTTTTTTTTTTTTGGATCCAGATTTTTCACTGGACCACTCAATCGGTAGGAGAGACGGGCGGTGTTGTGTACAAAGGGCAAGGATGTAATTAGCGCAAGGCTGCAAGCTGATGACTCAAAATTACAAGTTACAACATTACTTTTCAATTATATCGGAGATCAAATTTATTGAATTGATAATATCTTAGAAGTTAGAAATCATTAAAATGAGATATTTTATATCCTGTTCTTTTGACATATTAATTTTATGGCCCACAGAATCATTTCTTTTATTTTATTTTTTTAATTCTTCTAAATTCGAATGAAATTTCGACTCTCTATCTGACAAAAAATTTCCCCCTTACCCATGCTGCTCGGCAAAATGTGCAGGTGAGCATCTACGCTCTGTGCTCGACCCCGGATGTGCAGAATATTTTGAAGGAGGCTGTGCGTGTTCTTAAGCCTGGAAAGGTTCGCTGCACTCAATCTCTGACGCCAATCTCCCCAACTCAAGTCAAAGCCATCAAAGTCAAAGTCAAACACAAGGTCAAAGTCAGAGTTGAAAACCCTCTGTTTTCCCCCCATCTTTTCGGACAAAAATGGGCTGTTGATTTGCTTTCCTCACTTCCCCCCAGTCCGGTCTCGAAACTTTAATCTTTAAGTCTGGTTTTCTGACCACTTACTTTCGGTTTTAAAAAATTCACCACGTACATGAAAGTCGCCCTTTGCATGGATATATCACCCTTCTTTTGTGAAAATCACCCTCCACCCTTGCTACTGTTAAAATCAACCTTCCTGTGTACAAATCACCCTTGCAAAAGAATTCACCCCCCCTTGTGTTCCTTTTTTCCCATTGCCGTTCTGCGTTTTAGGATTTGAGATCTTTGAATGGTCCTCTAAGTTGAGATCTCAACTTAGATAGATAGATAGATAGATAGATAGACAGAGAGAGAGAGAGAGAGAGAGAGAGAGAGAGAGAGAGAGAGAGAGAGAGAGAGAGAGAGAGAGAGNAGAGAGAGAGAGAGAGAGAGAGAGAGAGAGAGAGAGAGAGAGAGAGAGAGAGAGAGAGAGAGAGAGAGAGAGAGAGAGAGAAACGAAATTTATGCTGTTACTATTAGCGGTGTTAAGTGCTGCGCTGCCTAATTAGATGACGTCTATTTAAAGAATGCATGCCAGTCGCATCGACGATAATTTTATTCCTTTCCAGGAAAGACAAATCTCGTCCGCATGACAATGGCTGCACAATGTACCTTTGATAAACCAAAGCACTTGCAATGTTCATTTTTTTTATCCTCTCCTTCCCCCCCCGCCACCCCACTAATAAATATTACATCATGAATGTAATCTGCTTTGTTTGTGACAGCTTCGTCTCGATGTTAAATATGCCCAGGGGCACCGTTCCACTAGCACACGAGTGATGACCTATTACGATGGGTGCGACACCACCTGAAAACGAAGAAAAGTAGTTAAAAAAAAAAGAAAAGACAAGAAAGAAAAAGTGGTGATGATGTTTGATTCATGTGCCCTCACCTGTCCTCACCCGTCGTGCACTCCCCACCTCTGCCTGCTCCTCCCAAAAACGTCCAGATTCATGCCTCCCACCAAGTTGAATGCCCATTGACGCCAGAGTCGATTCATTGCTTCACTGCGCTGCTGGGATAGAAGCTCTACCTGACGATTGCTGTCACCAAGACCCTTTGTGTGCCGGATGGGATCACTACTAAAGTGACGGTTTGCCATACTGAAGCGTGCACATTCTTGTATTCTGCGTCAAAAATGAAGTACTCGATGGGGTTGCAATAGACCGGAAAAAAAAAAAGGAGTTCAATACCAACTCCTTGGAGTACTTGCGTTTTCTTTTCTCGTTTGAAGTGCAGCCAATCAAAACGAGTTTTTCTATTTCTTTTTTCCGCCTCTCATTCTTCGCAAAGAAGAAGAAAAAGAACAAAACCAAAATAAAAACACAACTCCGAAACATAAATCCGTCGTGGTTTTGCTGCCATCCGATTTTCCTGCCACAACGGTCGCCGGTCGGGCGATTTCCCCCAGTTGTCTCGCAGGAGGTGTTTCGTGCGGACATTTAACAATACTCATGTGCTAGTGGAACCGTGCCCCAGAGAGACCAAAATTGGACATTTCAGTTGCTCTATCCTCCTGCTACTTGTTTCTCCCCCTCCTCCTCCCTCACGTTTCTCTTCTCCTCCTCCGCTTCCTTCTCCCCCTCCTCCTCCTCCTCCTCCTCCTCCTCCTCCTCCTCACGTTTTTCTTCTCCTCTTCTCCTGTTCACCGCCGCCTCCTCGTGTTCACTGCCTCCTCCTGTATACTGCCGCCTCCTCTTCCTCCTCCCCCTCCTCCTCCTCCTCCTCCTCTTCTTCCCCCTCCTCCTCCTCCTCCTCCATGTCCTCTCCTCCTCCTCCTCCTCCTCTTTCTCCTCCTTGCTCTCCTCCTGGTTCTACTCCTCCTCAATGTCCTCATTCCCCTCCTTCTCCTCCTCGTCCCCCTCCTCCTCCTTCTCGTCCTCTTTTTATGCTTTGAATCTTAGTCATCGTCATCATCTTCAAGTACTGTCTTCTTGGCGTGATTATCATATGGGCATTGTTCTTATCTTGGCAGCGCTGCAGAAGTCAGCTTTGACTCATGGCTCATGGATAGAGGTATCAGAGAGCGTAAGAAAGGCTTATACCATATAATATTATGTCTTTTGTTTGTTGGGTGCGTTTTTTTGGTCGATTCCATGTCTATTTTTGGTCGATTCCGTGTCTATTTTCAGCCAATCATCTTTGTCGAAAACGTAGCGGCCTCAGGAGGAATTGTTCTGGCTGCACAGAGAGCTTTGGAGGCTGCACACAATTTGACCGGATGGGGCGTTCACACTGTGCGAAACACATTACAGGAAATCAAGGTACAGTACGATATCAAATAATTTTGCATGCTTCCAGAAATAACAGACCCCCAGATTTGCTAATTGTCTTAAATAATGATTTAATCATAATTTAATAATAATTTAATATAATCTAATAATAATTTAATAATAATTTAATGTGAAGCTCAGAACTAAAGGAGATAGTTTATTATTTTTCATGGCTACACCGGACCCGGACCCAGACAGCGAATGTCCTTGGGACCGGACGCATGTCCGGTTGGGTCTGGACATCCGGACTTCCAGACGCATCCGGAGCTCCGGACATGCATGGACTGGACGGCCCGGACCTGTAAGCAGGTCCGGAAATGTCCGGACCAAAAAAAAAAAAAAAAAAAAAATCTGAAAAAAAAGTATGTTATGCAGTATAACAATGCAAACCACTTTTGACCTCAGACTCATGTCGGAATTCCTAACCAAACTTGAGTTAAAAGTCCAAAACTATAAAAAAAGACTTTAAAAAAGACTTAAAAAAAGACTTTAAAAAAGACTTTAAAAAAGACTTAAAAAAAGACTTTAAAAAGTAAGGAATTATTAATAATTAAAAAAACGGGTATGTCTAGTAAATTATTATAGAGATAGACCATGTCCGGACCCCCCCAAAATACAAAAACGGGCCTGAAAAACACCCAAAACAAATTTGGGGGCTTGGCTCCTCAGTGGGGGAGGGTCCTGGACCCTTTTTTTTTTTTTGCCCCCTTGAAATTTGGCAGATCCAGACCTTCCAGACTGGACGTCTGGGGTCGGGACTGAATCCAGACTGTCTGGACGGCGGTCCGGACGTCCGGATCGTAGCCATGTTATTTTTCCTTTTCTACTATTTGACCTATTTTTGTAAGTGCAACAGAAGAGAGAGCAGCAGTAGAGAGTCAGTGATGCAAATGGTCAAATCTCTCTCTCTCTCTCTCTCTCTCTCTCTCTCTCTCTCTCTCTCTCTCTCTCTCTCACACACACACACACACACACACACACACACACANCACACACACACACACACACACACACACACACCGAAACACAGACTCTCTCTCTCTCCCCCAGACTCTCTCTCTCGCTGTGTGTCTGTGTGTGTTTGTGTGTGTTTGTGTGTGTTTGTGTGTTTGTGTGTGTTTGTGTGTGTGTGTGTCCGTTTGGCAATCTTTGGGCCACTGACGCGGTGGGTTTTTGTAATGTAATGGAACTAATGTTTGAGCATGTGCAGACTGTTGAAGAACTGGGGACTGTAGAGTCGGACATGGTGGCTGAATTTCAGGACCCCCACGTTGTTGGCATTGGGATAAAGAAGGCGGCATCAGTCAACACGGCGCCGCAAACGCCAACGCCATTCAGTTCCACCAAGAACAAGACGACAGCGCCAAAGAAGGAAGTCAGGAAAGGCGGTTTCGGATCAGCAACATCGGCTCAAAGACAAACAAAAAAATAGTTTTCTGAATTTGTATTATTTTAATTTATTTATTTGAAAAAAAAAAGCAATTGCTTGTGTTTGTTGTGGATTTTCAAGCAGGCGATGCTCTGTGACGCTTTTTGTTTTCGTTTGCAATTAGTGCCATTTTGGAGAATTGCAAAGCGGGAGAAGAAAACATAGCAGCACAATTAATAATGGGAGTTCGGATGTGTTCCCGGGTGTGAGTAGGCGAGGGCTGAGGGTTTCACTTTCTTTCCTATTTCAAATTAAATTTTCCGATTAGCTTTTATTTTATTTTATTTGAATTACGCTCTTAGAAAAATGATATCCCTGTATATGGGGGCGAGTTTTAACGGCAGCAAGGCAAGGCTGCCCTGCTGACAGTGACCACCAGCATTGTACAGAGTCTACAGACAATTGTTTCTGTAATGTGAGAACTCGACTGGATGTCACCGGTAAAACCTAAGTAACGTGCTCGCTCCACTACACAACACTGTACATGCATTTGGACGCTCATAGGACCAGGTGCATTCGGACGATTCCAATGTTGTGAATGTATCTGGTCAAGCAAGATGTCCAAATGCATCTACAGTGTTGTGTAGTGGAGCGAGGGCCTAAGACCCACTCGCTGACGGTTTACTGAAGGGCGGGGGAACCTCTCCATTGCCACACAAATCTATTTTTGGCTTTGTTTCAGCTTCTTAACTCGCCACTCTACTGCTCTGTCCCATCTTCTATTTCTACTACTCTCCGCCAACCTACTCATCTTCTCACAACTGAGGTTGGAGAACTCTCCTGGGGTAATCGCACTCAGTCTGCCCCTATACTCATCTCACTCTCATTTTTTGTCTTCTTCCTTACGCCTGCTACGTACTAGTACGGTACTACTACTACTACTACTACGACTACAACCTACTCATCGCTTCTCTTCTTCACCCTCTGCCGTACCACTATTACCGCTGCTGCTTCTACTACCACAATTGTTGCTATTGATCCTTGACTCTCTTCTCTCCCTTTTTGTTCCTTCTCGTCCCCGATCTCGGCTTCCTCGTACCCCTTCCACTACTACTACAGCCACTGCCACTGCTACTGCGACTGTTGCTGCTGCTGCTGCCGCTTCTGCAACTGTGACTGCGACCAGTAGTGCTACTGCTACTACTGCTGCTACTACTGCTGCCGCTACTGCGGCTCCTTCTGCTACTCCTACACGCCGTCTACTCCTATTGCTACTGATACCGATACCGCTACTACTGCTGCTGCTACTCCTACTGCTACTGTGCTACTATTACATTCTTGCTGCTGGTGGTTAAGCAAAGAAAGAGATTAGGAGAAATGTGGCTGTATGTGGCCAAGCTCAGATTTTGAAAGAGATGACAGGGGGAGTGGTTGGGCAAGGTTTTGAAATAAAGGACGTGTGATGTTCCTTACACTGCAGCTGCAGCAGAGAAAGTTGTTACAGCAAAAACTACATTAGGGGGAATTCTAGATGTCGGAACTGCTGTGTTGAAAACTGCAGCAGAGGCTGGGAAGTAATGTAGAGGACCCCGGCCTCTGAATTATATTGAACAAAAGAAATGGGATCGCCAGTCCCAAAAACAACAACAGCAACAACAACAACAACAACAACAACAACTGCAGCAGAGGAAACTGGAGCAGTAGAAATTGGTGTAATAGGAACTGCAATAGGAGATGGGAGAAACTGCAATAGGAGAAACTGCAGCAGTAGAAGATAAGCAAGCAGGGGCAGGACGAGAGCATCATATGGGGGCAAAGAAGAAAGTGGATGATATAGAGGTCATCGTAGCATGTGTCAGAACCACTGTGAGAGAGGCGTGCCACCTACGTAGGATGGTAGCGTTGGCAAGTCTTAGAGTGCATGTAGGCATTTCCACGCCTTAGCAACTGTTGAAAGTCCCATCAATTGTTACAGATTTCTTCAAATCTGGTCAATTGCTCAGTGAAGACATCAGGCAGTTGATGGGAAGGAATGAGAAAATCATATTGTTAGCTGAGTACGGATCCGGGCCGCCCAGCCGACCGGCGCCTGCCCGGGGGAGGTCCCTGGCGGCCTGGCCGGGCGGGCGGCCTGGTTGGGGGCCGGGGCCCCCCAGCACACCTTGTTGGCGGGGGGTTTCCGACCCCGAATCGGCGAGATTTCGCCTCCCCAGGGCCTACCGGGTCCGACCACGCCGAGAAAACGGCGCGTTGGGCCCGTGAGGCCTGTGTTTTTTGTTTTGAATTTGGGACGGCCCTCTGGCCGTTCGTTTTTGCAGGGAAAACGGAGACCCTGTTTGAACAAGCAACTGGCTGGGGCGGCCTGCATTGGCTGTCCAAACGGGGCCTCGATACCTGCTCCAGCCGCCTGTGTTCGTCGTCGAGTCGCCCGTCGTTGAAGTAGCTGCCCTTCGTCGCCATCGCCTGGGAGCTTCACTCGCCCGTCGTCGTCGAGTCGCCCGTCGCCCGTTGCCAGCGTTGTCGATCGCGGTGCTCCTGCCTGCCAACAACAGCTGCCGCCCGTCGATGTGGAGTGCCGGTCTGTTCTTCTTCTTCTTCTTCTTCTTCTTCTTCTTCTTCTTCTTCTTCTTCTTCTTCTTCTTCTTCCCTCCTCCTCCTCCTCTGCTCATTCTTCTGCTTCTTCTTCTCTCCTTCTCCTCCTCCCCCTCTCATCTTCTTCTTCTTCTTCTTCTTCTTCTTCTTCTTCTTCTTCCTCCTCCTCTTATACCTAATCTGCTTTTCTTATTCCACGACTTCTTCACTCCTCCTCCTCCTCCCCCTCTCAGCTTATTCTTCATCTCTTGTCGTCGTCCTCCCCCTCATCTTCTTCTTCTTATTCTTCTCTCCTCCTCCTCCTCTTCCGACTATCTTCTTTTTCTTCTTTTTTTTTACATTGTTAGCGATAGGTCGCGAGATAAACGACAGGTAAGGAAAAAAAAAAAAAAAAGCTGCTCCGCTCGTCATCTTCTTCTTCTTCTTCTTCGCCGATCATTCTTCCGCCTCTTGTCTCCTCCTCCTCCTCCCCCTCTCATCTTCTTCTTCTTCTTCTTCTTCTTCTTCTTCTTCTTCTTCTTCTTGTAGGACCGCCGCCACAGCCCGCCGCCATAACCCGCCACCATACCATACGGCCCTGCCGCCGCCGCCATCTTCTTCTTCTTCTTCTTCTTCTTCTTCTTCTTCTTCTTCTTCTTCTTCGTCGTCGTCGTTGTCGTCTTGTAGGACCGCCACCACAGCCCGCTGCCATACCCCATCTTCTTTTTCTTCTTCTTGTAGGACCGCCGCCACAG